TCCTGTGTTCCTGTGAGACCTGGGTACTCTACCGAAGAGACAACAGCAAACTTGAAAGATTCCATCAAGTGAAACATCGTCAAATCCTGCGAAAAACATGACTCGACTGGATCACAAACAACGAAGTTCTCCTCCAAGTACAGGTGGAGAGTATAAAAACCATTATGAATTGTCACCGATTTTCCAATTCCAGTTCAAGCCGCAAATTGAGTTCTTCAAACAACAAACTACGTGGAACTTCAATTGAGTTGAGTTCTTCAAATCACAAACTCTGCGGAACTTGAAAACCTCACGACGCGAAACGTCTCACTTTAACTCTGATTCCTTGGCATTTTGAAAATTGATTTCCTCAATTCACAAAATGTGGAGATATTTTAAACTGAATTTAAAACATTTTTTTAATTCACAAAGTTTTTGCGTTACATTAAACTCACTATAAATTAAAAACTTTTAAAATCACTATTTTTATTCAGTTATTTAAAAAATTGCATTTTTAATTGTTCCCTTCTCATCCAGAAACAAATCCCAGTGATGGATGCCAAGCACCAGATGAAGGTAAGATTTTGAATTCCGGGATCATCCTGATTCCTAAATGTATATTTAGAGCAAGTGGGGCCCGAATTAGACGGGTTTCAGTCCCACGGAAAGACAGACAGAATTTCCCTTTTATTTATTTGTAATAAGGAAAGGAGAGAATCGCATATTTTGATTAAACGTGAAACTTTAAATGTGTTTACTTTTGCACATCAAAAAATTTGGGAGTATTTAACTATTTGCCATATGCAAATATTAGGACTTTTAACTTTCGTCTATCTATTTTTGTGCACAAGAATATTCTGAAGGCTCTTACAATACATATATATTTCTTGCAAGGCAAAAATTAATTTATAAAAATTTCAGAGAATAAATGTTTGCACATATCCATAATCACGATATTTTCTATACATATGTGTGTGTTTCAATCTTTGTATTTTCATACAAGTATCGTTTTTCTCAATAAAAATAAATTCGATAAGGAAGTGAAATTTTAAAAGTTTATCTACTTACATAAGAATAAATTCTAATGGAGTTCAGTTTTTTTTCTCGTTCTTTCATTTTTATTTAATTGCAAACGGGATTTGATTAACTATCGTCACATCATTCTTTGGGTGCAAATCAATATTTTTCATCCTTTCCATTCTTAAAACGTTATTGCTTTTTGCGAGCAAAAAAACAAACTGCTTTGCTTCTGTTATAATGCTCGTATAAGCTCGTAGTACTGGTTATTGCGAGGAAAACACTGGAACAAAAGATTGGTGAAGAAACTGTTTAATCACATACATTAACAATACAATAAGGGAATACCGTAGTTTTTACGGCAATGCATACGACCCACTTTGCGGCAAACTTTCGAGCACTCTACGACTCCTTTCATATGATTTAACGTTCCTCTCACAGTAAATGGAAGCGTATACGTTTAAGCATTTAGAGTGGCGAAGAACGGTTGTCTTTCTACACAACAATTTCAAGTCATAAAAAAATACTATCAATTTGAGATCAGAATCTGAATCATTCTCAACTTTAATTAACAGCTTGTTTTATAAGCCTGTAATTAATGCTGTATTTTCATAAACCTATAATTTTACCGTATTAGTCTTTTTATGATACCGAAATATACGGTGGACATCGATGGCTTAACAGGATCAAATAAAAGCACAACGTACAAAAGATTAAAAAAGTTTAATGAGATTGCATTGAAAACACGTATAAAACTTCCTTTAGAATTCAGTCTTGTATTAAATGCGTTTTTATGACAATCATTTAATTTTTTTGTCGAAACCATCAGTCATTACCTTAAAATTGGTTATAAGATACAATTCAGCCGTGCTTTGATGATAAGACAATATTCTACTTTAAGCAAACCACGGGACGATAGTCAGTAAGTAAAACACTTATATTAAATCATAAATGATTTATCATCAGAATATATAAATTCTGGAATTTTTAACGACTTGCCCCATTTCTTTGTCTCCTATTATTTTCAGAATTTTATAATATGAGGTCTGATAAAAATTATCGGCTGTGGTGCTATAAAAATAAAAACTACAACTTATATCCATTCAGTATTTAATCTCTTTCGAAGTAGTCCCCTTCTGAAGCCATACACTTCATCCAGCGTGGTTTCCATTGATGGAAGCATTCCTGGAACTACTTTCATGGGATTGAGAGCAGCTGTCTCATTGCATTCCTTTGGATTCCGATCGACACAATAAATACTCTTTGAAAGAAAGGGAGTGTCTATTCATATATGAGTATCCGCTAAAAATAACGTTTGACGTAAAATATATATATATATATATATGTGTGTGTGTGTGTGTGTGTGTGTTTAAAGATTATTGTCTTGAAAAGCTTATGTTTGACTGGCACTGTATATTAAAAATGTTGATTCTCATTATTCCAGTAAGGTGAAACTATCCGACAAAAAAAATTCGTTTAAAATACAATGAAAATACAATGAAATATTCAGTTCTAAAGTTATCGTCTAGATTTTGTTTTATTAATTAATAAATGTCTCGTCTGTCTGCTGTCAGGGGCCAGTGACTGAGATCGATTAAACTCCTCTTTATTTTGAAGACTGGCGCAAAACAATCTTCTTTCTTTCTTTATCATATGAAGTTACGTTCAGTTAATATTAATATTAAATAAGCGTCGTTGAAGTCTGACTGTAAAAAAAATAACTCTCTAAAAATGAATCATTTCTTTTGGTAACGCATGCATATGACTGGCCAAAATATTTTATTGAACCCACATTTTTCTTTGTTCAGATCCATTTTTGCCTTTGATCTGAATTCGGATTGAAGTTACATTCTAATTAGAGAAGGTATATTGATTTCATTAATCAGTTTAACTGTTACACCTGATCCAAACGTTATCTTGGGATAGTTTTGCTTGCGCACCTGTGTCACTCATCTTTTTTCATTTATGTCTATTACAAGAAACTTGTGGGCTCTTTGACGTGGTGTAACGGTTAACAAGCTTGCCGAGCTAAATTAATAACAACTGAGTAGTGAGTTCGATCATCACTAGGCACTACATAATCTCGGCTTTGTGTCATATCTACTCTAAGGTTAGTAAATCGCTATTTCAACAGTGTGTGAAACTGATCCAGGTAATGGCTTTCGCAAGTGACAAAATCTATCCATATAAGCAGTACCACGTTCACGAACATCCTGTCTATTCTGTCTCGCGTGGTGTTTTTATGCCGAGGTAAGCTCGCAAAAAATTTGCATACGCCCAACCACTCTCACCAATTCTCCTAGCTTCGAGACCGTGTCTTTCTTAAAATCGACAAAATCCAGAGACGGATATGCAAAGTTATGGGTCCTCGTCTGGCATTCTGACTACAATCACTATCCCACAGACATGCTCTGTTTTTTTTTTTTTTTCTACATGGCAGCTGCTCTGACAAGCTACTTTCACAGGTTCCCAAATTGCATGAATTTAAGCGTACTCCTAGCTTGACACCTCGCTCGCACCCTTTCACTGTCAAAACGGTTAAATGTAGCCATCACTTCTACTGCAACATCTTCTTATCTCGCACTTCCCAACAGTGGAACTTCTTTCCTGATCTTCACAAATTCAAATGTAATGTCAGTCGAAATCTTCTGATGCCTTGACCTTGATCCCAGTCCTTCTCTTTATCCTTTTCCAAAACACTCCCCTTTACTCTTACTCTCACTCTCTGTAACCCCTTGCGTGTTAGTGGCACTCCCGTCTTGCTTTGGGGGGGGTGCTTTAAAAATATTAAGGTGTTAGGGCGGCCATATTTCTTTTTCCTTTCCTTCACTCGTTTTTCACACCAGGCATATACGTACCCGCTTTGCTACACGAAGTAAGTCATCTTCTCTTCTAAACACAAGATCGGAATATGATAGAGAATAAAGATATACATATATTCTTTACATAAAAGTTACCTTACGTAGATATTATCTCATTCATCCATCTCTTTGTAAACATAGCTTAAAGATAATTAGCTGTTGGTGTGCTTAAAAGTAATAAACTTTTAATATTATATTTTTGTTTGCATATAATTTGAGTCTGGGGTTGTATACTTTTTAGTCGCTGTACTCATTTAGTGTTCTCGGTTTTTATTCTGAGAAGTGATGTCCGATGAAGACGTTTAGTTGTTTTTAAGTGTTATATTTTGGTATTACCAATTTTTCTAAAATCATTTCACCCACCCACCGCAAGCAACAGGTTACGGCTACTAAGACGTAAAGGAATCCTGAGGGGTTGAACATGAGAAGGCTTCAGAAAAAGGAGCTCGATCTTGAACACGTAAAAAGGGATTGACCTCTCTTCCTGTTCAAAATACCCAACAGGAAAGGCTACTGAGATATAGGCGTACCTATCTACTCAGATTGAGAACATTTTGGGGTTGATTTTCTTTGGTGGTATGTCAAACTCTAAAGGTTATTTAAGGCCAAAACGAAAATATTTTGTACACATTTTTTTTTCCTTCAAAAAAGTTTTATTAATTAACCCATAGTTGGGGGGGCGAAGAAAGGGAGTCATACCATTCCCAAATATATTTGTGAGTAAATGAATATGACGAACCCAACTAGAATTGGAACTCAGATATTTAAGTAACTACTCCGAGCCATTATCTATTACGCCATGCCTTTTCAGAGCTTTTTGACATTCGTCTATTTTTTTTTTCAAAAATTTGAATCTACTAGCAACATAGATTGATTGATTTGATTTTTACAATTTATCACTCTTTTGAAAGTTATTTAAACCCGGAAAATTTTTTTTTAGATTGTTAGAATATTGTTGCAGATGATAATAATTTGCTGATACTAATTAATCCATAGCTAGTGGGAGAAGAGATGGATTCATACTTTCCCAGGGAGACTTGCGCTTCAGTGAATATAGAGAACCTGGCTGGAATTAGAACTCGGCTCTCCGATATCCAATTCCGGCCCGTTATCCATTGCGCCGACCTCACATCCAAGTTCCTAGCAGCTGGTATTCCCAAGAGGTCATCCATCTAGGTAATGAGCAGGCTCTACGTTGCTTAACTTCGGTGATCGTAGGAGAACCGGTGTTTCAACATGATGTGGCCCTAAGAGCTAACGCTACTTCCATGGAAAATGCTCGGGCAAGCTACATTCATTGGTTCCGCCAGGTCTAGCCCTTACAGTAAGGACTCGCCATACCACTTACATTCTAACAACCCGGTCACATTCCCTCTGTATTCCATCGATGAGAATTAAGTTCCACTCGAACAGCTTCTTACCGTGAACAACTGCATTGCGGACCCGACTTCCAACAGGGTGTTTCCCCCGATCACTACAATCTTAAACTGTATAGAGTTAACCGCTATCTTCTTCTACTATCCGTATAAATGACCCCTTAATGTAACCCTCTACCTTGAGTAGCCCGCGTGTCTTACTGTAAAAAAAATATAGTAAATAAAAGAAGATAGAAATAGTAAATAAAAACAAAGTTCAAGTTGAAGTAGAGAAGTGGAGTAGATTTTAGAAAGAGCCAGAAACCCAAACCTAAGCCGAAAACAAAGAATAAACCTCAACTCCCGTTCAAAGGAACGGGGAGGAGTGCGAACCGGACGATAGGCGAACCTATCTACTCCTATTATTTGGAAAGGTGGAAAGAAATATCATTGAATAAGATAGCAGTGACATTCGAAATATAGCGTTGAAGGAAACTTTAGAAGGAATCAGAAACAGAATCCTAAACTGAAACAAGGGATAAACCTCTAATCCTGTTCAAAAGACCGACTAGGATTGAAAACCGGACAATAGGTGAAACTATATATAAGATAATATATATTTTTGTTACTTCTCTTTTTTGTTATTATTGTTCTTTTGATATGATATTTTTCATTGCTATAATAAAAGTTTATTTCTGTTACTCGCTATATAAGATTTTTTCTGTGATCATGCATTACAGATCGCCTCATTACCTCTAAATACAGGGATTTTTTTTTTTCACTGACGGACGATTCGAATTTTATATTTTGAATCTTCTGTCTTTTGTTATCAAATCGTTTGAGATTTTAAAAAATTCCCTAAGGTTATCAGATAGAAAGGCACAAGTTTCTGATGATCGTACACTTATTTTCTGATGTATGATATTACTTCTGGACAGACTGACGGGATTAGATACGTACATATTTCCTACCAGTGCTTCGTGTTGGGACTCAGGGAAAAGCCAAAATTACAAATGCAGATTTTCAATGTAAGGTAGGCATTCTCCTCTTGGGACAAGAGTGATGTACAGTCTTTCGAATTTCCTTTCCTACATTTGCTCTGATGTCCTACTAGATTCACTTAATAAATCTCAATACAATATACGTTCTTAAGCAATAACTCGGACTCGCTTATATTTGTTGCGCGCAGCAAGGAATAGCCGACTGTTGTGACGAATGACGTCACGCTAGTATAGCCGAAAATAGTGGTTCCTGTGTGCGACCGTGCATGCTTGGGTGAACCATGGTGAGGATTGAGGATTTCTCTGTGACACCCCTTTAGGATTGAGGTTTCAGCTGGTATTTCGGAGATGGATGAAAGCGTCCATGTCGGCTTTGAACCAAGAATAAAACTCAGTGGCTCAATTTTCAAATTGAAATTTTAAAGGGGTGTCACAGAGAAAATCACGGACTGAATCCCAATCAACATGCTGGTAACGGAAAGAGGTCTAACGCAGCTAAAGAAAAACAAGTTACCATCTTATGTCTTATTATTGGCTAAAAATTAAAACATATTTCTCATGTGGCTTAAAGACCTGGGAAACCGAAGTTATTGTATCTGTCAATATTTCTGAGATGAGGTATTATGTACACTGTTTACATTATTCGGACTATTGTCCTCATCTTTGTCGCCATATTTATTACAACGTTTCGGCTGTTGTACGCTCCGGACTTCTTCACTGGGGTGGACTGTTCTAGTTCCACGTGCCATGTTTCATGCATGTCAGTTATCAGTTATCTCCTGTTAATTCCCCTCTCCAAGTTCTCCACTGCCTTAACTGGGTATTGAACTCACACTCTTTGGGTCTTGTGAATGGATCTAACTAACATTCTACTCCAGTGAGCGAAATAAATGGGTCAGTTCGATATTCCAACCACCTGAAGAAGGCCGGAGCGTATAACGTCCGAAACGTTGTAATAAATATGGCGATAAAGATGAGGACAATATTCTGAATAATGTAAATAGTGTGCAAAGTTATTGTATTGCGATTTATTAAGTGAAGTGCCTGTTTGCCGAGATAATGAGGCACCGCATAACCTCTAACAACTTTGGCTCTCGCGATTAATGGCGGCTCTGTAATAGGGCATTAAATAAATGTAAGGTCTCTGTTCCTCTTTTCTTCAACATGAGGTATTATCATCCTCTACTAATAATGCTGAATGCTTTACTCGTAACTTCTCTTCAAATTCTACTCTTGACTGATCCGGAATATGCCTGACTAACTTCCCTCCTAGATCAGAGTCTCTGTTGAGTGATATGCATATAAACAATTTCATTGATTCTGCTTTTATATCTAAGCTGCATCCACACAAAGGATGTGGACCCGATGGCATCCCTGTAATAGTCATATGGAGTGTGCTCCCGAACTGGCTCCTGATGTCTCTAAACTGTATAATAAATGCCTCACTGCCTCCTGCTTTCATGCCTACTGGAAATCATCATTTATTACAGGTTTTAATAATTCTGGTTAGCCTTCCAGCTATAGACCTATTAGCCTTCTACCTCCTTTTGAGAAACTCCGAAAGACTCTAGCCAATGCTGAATTGGTTCATCAGCTCTCATCGCGGGGCCTTTTCTCAGACAAGCAATACGGCTTTCGTTTCTCCAGATCAACTACTGATGTACTGACGATAATTGCAGAAAGAGTCTATCATGATCCAGATAAAAACGGTGAAGCCCTGGCTATAGCATTGGACATCTCGAAAGCCTTTGTCAGGGTCTGACATTTAGGTCTTCTTCACCAGCTGAAAAGTTACGGTGTCTCCGGACACTTTTTGAACTGATCAAGTCTTTCCTATTAACTCGTGAAATGAACGTCATCCTGAACGGCCACTCGTCTAGATCGTTTCATACTAACGCAGGTGTTTTCTAAGACAACATACTTTGTCCTACTCTGTTTCTAATTTTCATAATTTCCTGATGACAACTTGGTATCTACGCTGGTGACATAACAATTTACTCCTGCCTCGATAGTAACGCTTATCAAACCAACAGGATCAAGATGGCAGCCGATGTCCAAAACGACCTTAAGTCTGTTGTTAACTGGGGCAAAAGATGGCTTGTTAATTTTAACGCCTCTAAAAGTAAACTTCTCTCTATTAATCATCTGAGAGACTCTTCTCTGCCTTCCATCAGCATGGTTGTTGCTAACATCCAGGAAAGTGACTCGTTACGATTTCTCGGGTTAAGCTTCTCTGCTGATATGAATAGAAAAGACTATATTGAATCTATTGTTAGATCAACTGATAAGAAAGTCGGTTCACTATGTCAGGCGAGACACTTTTTCTCTCCAGAATCTATCTTACTTATAAGTCTACCACTCGCCCATGCTTAGAATATTGCTGCCAGATACGTCTCGGTGCAATTGCTATTTACCTTGAATTCCTTGATAAAATCCAAAGAAGAATATGCAATATTATTGATCCTGATCTGGCGGTTCGGCTTCAGTCACTTTCCCACCATCATAAAGATGCCTCTCTGTCTTTTCTATAGATATTTTCGTGGAAATTGTTCGGATAAGTTCTTCGCTTGGGTACCTATGGTAATTTAAGCGCAGCACTAGATAGGCGTTGAGATGTCAGCAATTTACAGTTGAGCTGTCTAGATGTAACCGTACATCTTATGTTTCTTTTCTCGCACTTCTCACTTGTGGAACTTCCTTCCAGCTCCATGCCTTCCAGCCGACTTTAATCTACAAAAAGTTTAATGCAATGTCAATCGCTATCTACTGTCATCCTGATTACTCTCTTCTCTTTCTGTTGCTCATTATTGTTTCTGTTCATAATTCTGCTACACCCTGTAACGCCCTGTAATTGACTGCCTTTTTGTATTTTTTTTTATTCTTTTTACTTCCGCAGTTAATAGTTTTTGGAAATTGCTATTAACTTTTGCGAATTTAAGGTTGTCAATAATGCTAAGCATATCTTTTTCAAAGTTCCTCAATAGCAGGTGGGTGTTTGTTAGTTTTGAAGTTGAAATTATCCGTGATTTCTTTGTTCTTCAAATACTTATTTAAAGAAAATAATGCCTTCCATCTCATCCTGGTGAGGAATTCTTCATCCGTGTTTGGAATAGGAATATTTTTTTAGCGAGTGCTGTATCTTGAACTCTTGCATCTGTGAATGTTGAGTGTTTGTCCTGCGTTCGGAAAAAATATAGTTGTGCGTTCAAAAATATTTGAATGATACCAAATTAATAGACATAAAACATAATGTATGTAATAGTGTGTCAGTCGACAAGGTACATGAGAGCGTAAACAAAATACACTGTAAATGCTAGCCATGTGTGGCATCTAAAACAAATAAACAACAGGGACCTGTTCGTAAGGTGGAAATTTTTTTTTAAATGTTAAACTATACAGCAATCATACCCGCATTTGCTACCTTTTTCAACATGAAAAACTAGAGATTATGACATTTCCAGATCCCAAAAACCTTTTAAACCAGAGATCTGAAATCTTAAGTCCTTGCCTTCATATCAAAAAATTTTTATTCAGTGAACATGAGGCCGGATAAAAAATATATTTTAAAACCCCACAATTATTTTTAAATGCGTTTGCTTCCCCTCCCATCCTATATTTACAAAACAGCCTTCCTTAAATTTACATTACATTTCCTTTTCTTTTCTTTATACATTTACGATACACTTGCTTTCTTTTCTTCTCGTCACTCTTCTCTCTCTTTTTCTTCTTCCTCCAACTTAAACCCTCCTTTCTATTATACTCACCGTTATGCGTTTGATGGTCGTGCGTTTGTTTATTTACTTATTTATTTTAAATGATAATGTAGCGTTCTTTGTGTTTTTTTTTAATAAAGCGTTGGATAGTCAGTTGATGGAACTAGCCCGATAAGACCG